TTACGGAACTTCCCAATTCCCATGCGGACAGTTTTTGTGGCCTAAAAGACGGTGTGCTTCCCCCTCTCCCCCCCCCCCCGCGCCGTAAAGTAGATGTATGCTGTAAAAATTGGCGACATACGAGGGGGGGAGGAAGAAGGGGTTGGTGGGGGCGTTGAAGGTGCGGTCGGGTGCGTGAGGCGGGAGGCGCGGCGCCTTATATGCGCGCGGAGGGCAGGTACGTGGACACGTGGACGAGTCCACATGCCGGTATTTATAGAGCGGAAGGTGCGGCTGGAAGGCGGATATAAATAGACGGCGATTGGAAACGAGGCGGCCGGGCCGGTCCGCGAGCAGCGGGCCGGTGGAAGGCGAGGCCGGGAGGAGCGAGAGGGGCGGCGCGCGAAGGGGCGGCGCGCGAAGGGGAGGCGCGCGAAGGGGAGGCGCCAGCCGCGCCCCGGCTTCCACTCCACAGCCTTGAAATTATAACGTGAAAAATCAAAAACATCAATCAACCACGCGTGCTGCCCTGGAAGGCATGTCCGTCTGCGTGAGAACCTCTGCGTGAGAACCGCTCCCCTGAGACAATCCCGCCCTCCCGTTCTCATACGGAGGACAACTGTCCTCATATTCGTTGTCCACCGCCTGCCCGGCCGAGGGTCTCGGTCCGCGCAAATTATATCTGCGGCGTGAAAACGCCGCTCGCTGCCGCCCGGCGCCAAAAGCTACCAAAAAACAGCTGCTGACGCCCATCACGACCGCTTCCACGCACATGTTTACACAGAAAACATTATAGAAAACGGGCCCGGAAAATCCGCCTCTCGCCCACCGCCGCTGACAGCGCAGAAACCGCAGAAACCATGACCATGACCGCCACCTCACCGCGCGCGGGCCGCCGCCACGCGCGGAAACGGCAACGGAAAGCGCCCGCCGCGGCCGCGGAACCGCACAGCCTCCGCGCCTGCGCCGCGCCGGTGGACCGCTGGTCCTTTTAGGTGGCCTGTCTAGTCTTGGCCTAGATTCGGAGTGAGGGCGCGGCGTCGGCGAGGGGAGGGCTTGTACGTGGGGCCGCCTGCTGCTCGGCTATGCTGCTATTGTGTCTTGTGTCTACTAGTTTATCAGTCTCCTGTTTCAAACACTACTGTCAGGGTCAGGAGAGAGGCACCCCACTCCCCTTCCGCATCCGTTGTCGAGAAAGCAAATCAGTGACAAATCTGCCAATTGCGCCGTCACTCCACGCGCCGCCCTTCAATTCAATTTTCGCAGAGGCGCAGCCCCCCGCACACACGACCGTCCCCTTGCTTCGCCCGCCCGTTTACACCTCTCGCGCCCCGCGCTGGCCCCCGCGCGACAGCCTGCGAGATAGCCCAGTTTGGAGATACTACACGCGTTGCCCCGCTGGAAGAGACAGTCGCGCTCCTCTTTCGGGCGTGCTCCTTCGTCGGATCGGCCCGGGACGTCGGCCGTTGTGAGCTTGCACACACAAACAGACTGAAGGGGCCCGCCTTCGGCCACAGCTGCACGGGAGCGTCGGTGTTGAGACATGCTAGGAATGGTGGGAGGGGGAGGAAAGAACCCACGCGGTGTACGCCAAATGCACCCAGGAGCGAGCGCGGGGGGGCACGTGGCGTGTGGCGAGCGTGCGTGAGAGCGAGGATGGCACTTGACGTATTTCAGGCAAGGGAGAGGGCAGCGTGGAGTATTACGGATGGAGGGCGCGGCGGGCGGGAATGGGTGCGTGGTGTTCTGTTCGCGTTGTGCCAGAGATAAATGCAATGCGGGCGAGGCAGATGGTGTGCCCTGAAGAGGTCACGGGGGACGTGCTTGTCTGTAGGAGCGCTGTGCATCGGAAGGTCTGGGGGGAGCAACAGGGGTAAGGAGGATGATGGAGCGTGCCGTAACGCCATGAAATTTCAGACGTTTGGATGAGGCCACTTGTGTGAGAAGTGTAAGCCTACTTTGATCATTGATCCGTTTTCCATCCCGATCCCGGACCTTGCAGTGCGCCAAAAAACGAAACAGAGAAGGGTATCATGCATGAACCCGTACATACTGTATCAGGGGGGGGGGGGGAGGGTGCCAGGGAGGTGGTCTCGGGCCCCCACTAGCCATGGTTCTCCTCTGCCGGAACCGCGTCTCGCTGGGAGTTCTTGTCAACCTCAACTCTGCGCGGCTCTCCGGTATCTTCTGGTTCTCAGGAGTCGGCGCTCGAACGACCCAACGGTGCGTCCGGCTCGGCCGAAGTCCAAGCGCCCTAGCCGCCCTTCTCCGCCCTGCGCCCTTGACAAGCGCCGGGGCTGGCTGAGTACTAACTCGACAACTCAGTCCTTTCAGTAGACTACCGCTGCTTTCTTGCTTTTGACCCTGCGTCGGCAGCACTGGCCTCTCAGTCTGGTTAGTAAAAGCCTTCCCGCCCTATCTCGCCAGTCTGAGGCGTACCGGTACGCCTTTCTGGATGGATACTCCTTCCATTCGTTGCTCACAGCGTCCCACGCGCATAGGTCTGAACGTTGTCGGCCTCTCAGCGACTTGGCCCCTATCGGCCCTGGCTTGGCCGACATGTGCCTGCCTCGAGCTTGAGACGCTGCGGTCAGTACTAAGTTGCCTGCAACCTTGTTCCCTGCTGACCGCACGTCGCCCTTCTTTTCCTCCCGGGTTTTGACGCGCCTCCTCTTCCTACTGCGCGGCTGTTTCGTGGTCTTCTGCTCTGTTGATTCGTCTCGGCTGACCTGTGGTATCGGATGTCGGGCCTGTGCAGTGCCGGCGGTTTTCAGGAGTGGTGCTTATAGCGCTACCCTGAGAGCTTTTTCCATTCTCCCGCAAATCGTCCTCCAGCTCATCGAGTTACACTCGCGCATCACAATAGTTCTCCCGTTCCAGACTTGTCCCCTGCCTTCTCTCTGGTTGTATCGAGAAGCTGCACACATACTAGAGACGGTGTTGTCCATGCCCAATTCCAAGCACACCGCGCACAGAGGAAAATCTGCGTCCGCCGCGCTGAGACCATCTATATAGTCGGCTGTCTTGCCTGCTAGTCCTGGAGCTGAATTTAGCCAGCTTATGTGCGCCTTCGACCTTGGTTCCATTCTCGTGCCTCTTCCTCTCGAGTACAGCATACTGTGTCTCTTGCGGGGACGTCCTTCTGCCTTCCGTCCAGCTGCAGTTGGTACATCCCTGTCGTTATCCCCGCTGCCTTCGACGCAGCCTCCACTCGCTCGTTGACTCCCGGACCGCGCAGAACCTCAACGTGCGAAATCCTTGACTTCGAGTACCGCAGTGGTAGATTCTCTATGAGTACATATCTACCAGCTATCGTTCCGTACGCCTTACGGTCCGGTCCTACTACCAGTTTGATCCGCAACGGGACGGCCGCGTCTACAATCAAGGTTCCCTTATACCTTTTCTTCATCCGCCGGTCACTCATTAGGGGCCTCTTCTCAATAGCCTCCCCTCCGTATATGGCAGTGATGAGGCATCCCTCGTAGCCTCGGTGCCTAGCTACGAAATCCGCTTCTCTAGCCAGTATTGCGACTACTTCCGCCATGAGGTTACTGTTGACACCTTCGGAGCTGGGTAGTAGTAGCGAGCTGAGCTTTTTGAGCCAGTTTCCCTTACCGATTATCTTCCTGACAACATCATCTCGGAGTAGAACAAGTTTCAAGGTCTCTCCTTCTATTTCGTCCTCGAAGACGTTGGGGCCATAGGGAAAAAGCTTCGAGTCAGGGTCAGTCACCATAGACAGTGTGACCTCAATTCGGCACTGGTCGCTGACCTCAATTCCCAGTAGTTCGTTGTTGACCTCCGCCAAGAAGCTGCGCCCCCTATGCTTCACCTTCCTGGAAGTGACCAGCTCTACTAACTGTTCAATATCGTTGTACTTGACTACCTCCTTAGAAGTGTCAATTCCGCACGCTTGGAGGCACTTCCTCACCTCAAAATGCTCCGAAGGGGCGTACGTCGCATCGCTCTCAGGTACGGCCAGCCACTGATTTTCCCGGATTAGCATCTCCTGTGCCATGCGAGCTAACTGGCCGTGCTGCCTGTCCACTCGCAAGGCCCACGCTATGTCACATAACTTATCTTCAGTACTGGCTTCCCCAACGATCGTCCTAGTAAACTGATAGCCTTTCTCAATGACCTGGATAGTCGTTCCGGACTGACAACTGGCCACTCTTAACCTGCTGTCACTCACAATTATCTCCGCTTGCGCCACCTCATCGTCAGATGGCTTGTCCCCAGCCCTTCTACTTGTTATTACGTGCAGCCAGCCCTTGCTTCTGGATAAGCTCCCGCCATCACATCACTCATCATTTGACCAAGCAGCCGCCTTGTCTCTGCCCGATCAGCGGCTTCGTGTGTTGCCGTCTCACCCCTTTCCAGAGCCAACAGGACCTTAATAGCGAGCCTGACCGTGCCGATAAGGTAGCCCACTTGCCCTTCCCAGTTGTAACCGACCCTCACGTAAGTCCAGGCATGGTTAACAAGCTCCGTAACTCTACCCGCAAACTGGATAAGATGAGTCTTCGCTGCCGCCAAATCACCCTCCGACGCGGACACCCAACGGTACAGGTCGTTATTATCAACGACTACTTGTTCATCCTGCCCCAGTTCGCCGGTGTGATCCCGGATCACGTAGCCAGAGATTTCTGCTAGTACGGCCCGAGACAACATCCTGCCGACAACTGATTTCTCCAGTTCCACCGCATTGCAACATATAGCGGCCATAGCGCGCCTGACTCCCGATGCAAGGTCAGACCCGGTCACACTCTTCGACTTCCACGTATCACCCAGTCCGAACAGGGATTTGTCGGCTCGCTTTAGAATCCAGCCCCGTTCCTCGGTCCGCGCGTCCTCCGCTAGCCGACTTGAGTCCTGTACTCCATTTATGTAACTGTCTGAAAGCCTTAGCCCGAAAAGACTCTCACCAGGGCTAAGACTATTAGCAGTCCATCGCACCTTAGTGTTAAAGATGGGCCTCACGTTGGAGACCGGTTGTCTTTCTCCGAGCTCAGAAAACTTCACAGCGTCCCACTTGACGTACGTCTTGAGCAGGGCCATGTTCTTCCTTTGTCGCACTAGTTGCCCTACTGACCCTAAGAACAGCCCTACCAAGTTTTTATCGCCCGCCCAATTGGTGCTCCCCTCAGGAACTTCCGAATGAACCTCGACTTCCCTGCCCACTCCTGCCTCGACCCCTATGCCTGGGACCCCAACCCTCGCTGTGACGTGCCCTCGAGTCGCCGTTACAACTTGCTGGCCTCGCTGTGTCAGTGGATTTCTGCTCATTGTGAGGGTTCGTGGGAGTGCTTGTTTCTTAAGTTGTCTTCCCGCCCTTTGATGTTAGTCCACAACGTCGAAGATTTGTTGTTACTGCAAGATAACTCTAACTCAGCCTTGTATGAATAAGAAAAGGGGAGAGCGCACTGGGACTGAAACCCCACCTGTGCGATACTCGACCCTGAAACCAAGGGCAGAGAACGGAGATGAAAGATTGAAGGGCCGAGGGACCGGTGATGAGAAGCCAGAGGTGGAGCCGGTGAACGGTAGGGCGGAGGAGAAGGGAGGGTCGCGATCCGTTATGCGCCAGGGCATCACTCAGGCGAGCTGGAAGCCTGAAAATTTCGGAAAATAATGGTGGCTAACGGGCCCACGGCCCGGCCTGAAAAGGGGGCCGTGTGGCTGGGTTTTCACCTGACTACTAGACCTGTACCCAAGGGTACTGTACAAAATTGATTTTTTTTTATAAGTCCCCAAAACGTGTGAACTGGCTTCATCGCATGGGCACGGCAAGTGGGGGGCGTAAATTACAAGTGGAAGCGAGGAGCAGGCGCGTCCTGTCTCATACGCGACGCCCGCGCAGGAAGGGCAGTCTGTGAATTGGAAACGGTCTGCGACGTGAGGGTGGATCGGCGAATGGAAGTGTCACTGAAACGTGTTACACGTGGCATTTCTTCTTTCGTGCATCACCATGCCGGATGGATGATGAGGCGTCGCGTGTCGTCGACAATGGAGCGAGAAGTCAAAGAGTTGCATGATCTGCAGATAGATCATGTAAAGGTAAAGGATGTATAGGGGTGACGGATGCAAGAGAAGATACGCAAGGTAGAGACGAAGGCGGGCGGAAAGTGAGTCGGGCTTGAACCGATGTGAGCTCATGCAAGAACAAAAACGAGTGTAACCGCCAAGCGGACAAGAATCTCCCTTCAGAGTTGTACCTCCTTTTATTTTCCCGTCTCACGGAATTAGGTAGTACCTGCTCCTACGATAGTGCTTCTCTTATTCCGCATCCGGTCTATTACACACTGAGGTGCCAGACTCACTGCCGTCGTGCGGCGGCGCAAAGTGTCCAACGGTACATTTAAGCTAGACCGTCTGTCTCGGAGTGAAAGAGCATCGATTCGTCTTCTTCTTCATCCCATGCAATTGCACAACGAGGCATGCAAGGGAAGGGGGATGGGCACGACAAGGGTCCGAAAGGGTTAGCAATCCGAGGCGTCGTCGATGGAGTTGATCATGATGGCGACATATGCGCCGCTGTTGGCGTCGACGACTAGGCGAGGGCGAGGGTCGGACGCGGACTGGGCAGGTGAACGTGATCTTCGACGGTGACAGGAATCAAAAGCCCACTTGAGGAGAAGCCCGAGGAAAGTGGCGAGGATAGGTCCGACGAGTCCAAAAGTGGGGTTCAGCACGGCCCAGAGGGAAGACTGCTCGTCCATAGCTGGCGGGAGAACTGGCGGGAGAAATGGCGGAAGAAGGGAGCGGGCGGCGGTAGGGGCGTCTGTTTGCAATGGGGAGGGAGGGAGTGGTGGGTTGGAGGGGATGGGAGAGGGGGAGCGGACGAACTGCGGTGGTAGACATCGCGCTCTTATACTGCGGGGCACGACACAGCTTCGGTGAGCGCTCTATGTGCTCGCGCTTCATCACTGTCTGAGGAAACTATGGACCGAGGTTCGGGGGGCGAGGAAACTATAGACCGGTTTGCGGGATAGGGCGTGAGACGTCCAGCAAGGACCTGTTTGCTGTATTTTTAGGGGGGCGAGGAAACTATAGACCGGTTTGCTGCATAGCGTCGTACTGCCGGCAAAAACCGTGTTTGCGACGTTTTTTTTGCGGGAGCGAGGAAACTATAGACCGGTTTGCGGGATAGGGCGTGAGACGTCCAGCAAGAACCTGTTTGCTGTATTTTTAGGCGGGCGAGGAAACTATAGACCGGTTTGCGGGATAGGGCGTGAGACGTCCAGAAAGAACCTGTTTGCTGTATTTTTAGGGGGGCGAGGAAACTATAGACCGGTTTGCGGGATAGGGCGTGAGACGTCCAGCAAGAACCTGTTTGCTGTATTTTTAGGGGGGCGAGGAAACTATAGACTGGATTGCTGCATAGCGTCGTACTGCCGGCAAAAACCGTGTTTGCTGCGTTTTTTTTGCAGGAGCGAGGCCCGACCTACGGAGGACTGCCACGAACAACAAAATGCCCAGAGGAAAGAAATTGACTCGCTCTCAGCAAGATCAAGCCCTAGCTTGGCACAAAGAAGGCATTTCTAAATCTAAGATTGCCAGCTGCGTGGGTAAGTCCCGGAAAGCAATCCGCACATTTTTACAAGACCCGCAGGCGTACAACAACAAACACGCCGGTGGCCGCCCGCCCAAGATATCTCCTGCCGACACTCATTGTCTTATAAGTGAGGCATCCAAGGGGGACAAAAGCGCGGCGACCTTGAAAAGAGAGCTTCAACTTTCTATTTCAGAGCGTCGTGTACAGGAGATACTATTGAGCAGCGGAGTACGACAGAACAAAAGGGCCAAAATCGCGAAGGACAGTGAATCCATAGTGTGTCATGGAGACATGATGCGGGACGGGGCAGGCGGCGTCGCTAGCGACACGGATCGAGCGACAGAGTTGTACGAGCAGGAGATCAAGGGGTTTGACGACGTGATGTACAACAATGAGCGCGCTATCGAGACGTGGATGCCATGGTGAACCTCGGTGTTTTGCTCCAAGAAGGTGCGGAAGGAGTAGAGCGTAACGCCATGCGAGCAGCAGAGCTGTATGAGCGTGCTATCGAGAAGGGTGACGACGTCCAGGCAATGGTGCACCTCGGTGCTTTGCTCCAAGAAGGTGGCGAAGGAGTAGAGCGTAACGCCGTGCGAGCAGCAGAGCTGTATGGGCGCGCTATCGAGAAGGGTGACGACGTCATTGCGATGTGCTGCCTCGGTGTTTTGCTCCACGAAGGTGCCGAAGGAGTAGAGCGTAACGCCGTGCGAGCAGCAGAGCTGTATGAGCGCGCTATTGAGAAGGGTGACGACGTCGATGCGATGGTGAACCTTGGTGTTTTGCTCAATCGAGGTTTCGAAGGAGTGAAACGTAACGCAGAACGAGCAGCAGAGCTGTTTGAGCGCGCTATCGAGAAGGGTGGCCACGTCAAAGCGATGGTGAACCTCGGTGTTTTGCTCAATCGAGGTTTCGAAGGAGTGAAACGTAACACAGAAAGAGCAGCAGAGCTGTATGAGCGCGCTATCGAGAAGGGTGACGACGTCAATGCCATGGTGAAGCTCGGTGTTTTGCTCGAAGAAGGTGCCGAAGGAGTCGAGCGTAACTCGGAACGAGCTGTGGCATTGTATGAGCATGCGATGGCGAAAGGAAATTCTGGTATCGCGACTTTCAATCTTACGAGGACATTGAGGGACGGAGCGGAGGAGGTGGAGCGCAATGCGGTGCGCGCGGTAGTGCTGTTCGAGATGGACATCACGAAACGGAAGCAGAGCGAGTCAATGGTGTGGTATGGAGACATAACGCGGGACGGGGCGAACGGCGTGGCTCGCGACCCGGATGGAGCGATACAGTTGTATGAGATGGCGATCGAGGAATACAACAACGCGGAGGGGGTAGGCAACCTTGCGGCGTCGGAGTGGGACAGATTGGTCGGCAGTACGCGGGACGAACGGTGAGTTGGAACGAGAGGAGGGGAGGTGGGGAGTGTCGTACACTGTGAGACTCTGTTCGCTACAGGCCTTCGACCGGCCTGTTTCTTCCTTTGGCGCTGTCCGTCGGCGGAGAGTGCGCAAAAAGAGAAGAGGTTTCTGCAAAAAGAGTCGTCGGTGAGCGAGCGGCGGTCGCAAGCCAGGGACGAACTCACTTTATTAGGAGCTGGAAAGTAGTAGAAGTTGATTGAATCGCCTGAAAATAAACTCAAATAAAAGACTAAACGGAACCAAGCGAGCACGATATTCTAGACATCTATTGTCAAGAATATGAGAGTGCATTCCTACCCCGTCACCATTACACTCCCACCTCTTCAGATAGCGAGCTTGATTCATTGCGCATGATCCACTGCTCCACTTCACAGTGATCAATACCAGTGAATAGCAGCTTTGACAGTGCTCCATTGTCCTTAACTTTCGATAAACCATCGGCAGGATTAAGATCTGTGCACACGAGGCCAATTTGAGTAATATCAAAGGATTTGTATGCGTCTCGCGCCCCAGCGATGTCTATCATTAGCCTCTTTTCGGTTGTCTGTCTGCCTTTTGTGACTGAGTCAAACAGCTGCTTCGAATCTGTAAAGCAATGTAGCTGAATCTTAGTTCCTAGCATAAGTTCCAGGTCTTTCCGAATTACAAAGGCAATGTCAAAACCATCCACAAACGAATAA